GCCCCCCCCCCCCCCGCCTGGGGAGCACAGCACATGGTTGCTTCAGTCCAGCCTTACAGTAACAGTTGTGGCAACAGCCCCATACCCAGGCCACAGCTGTTGTTGCCATTGTTACTACTGAGCAAGCACATGGGCTGGGGCCAGAGCAACCATGTGCTCCATGTTCCAGGCTAGAGCCAGAAAGTAAGTTGGGGGAGGATGGGAGGCAGAGAGGGGTGGGGGCAGCAGCTGCAGCTCCAAGCCTGGTTCAGGACTCCCTGGGGCAGGGTTGGAGTTGGAGCTTCAGCAGCCACTTGTTCCTCTCATGGCCTTGTACTCAAATCCAAGATGAGGGGCTTCCCCCCACATGTTAAAGGAGAGGGGAGGAGAAAAACCTCCTTTTGGATTGGAGTAAATGCAGTAGTTTATATAAATTTTGTGTGGAAACCTAAAACCTATCCTTTTGAAGGAGGGTACAATCTCTTGAGTTATTAGGCAAGCTGTGTGCTATTCTAGCCATTCAGAAAAGTTCAGTGGGCTTGTATGCTAAATGAGGAGGGGAGGATAAATGTGTGGTCTAAACAGTAAGGTTTTCATATCTTTGCTCTTAAGCTGTGCTGATATCACCTTGCCACAACAGTCTTAATGGCTTACTTGTACTTCTCGGGGATCTCAACCCACAGCTTCTGATGGTGAAATCCTAGGCAGCATCAGTTCACAAGTAAATGACCAACTTACAAATGTTTTTACTAAAGTAAGAACTCTTTAAAAGGTGGTAGCTTCTACTTGGTTTATGACAGTGGTATCTTTCAAGTTTGTTTGGGCTCTTTTTTTTTCCTTTCTTAAATCCAGTGGAGGGGAACTGATTTGGTTTATGAATCACTTAACAGCCTTTGACTTGCAGGTGGTTGACATCATGAGGGTGAATGTAGACAAGGTGTTGGAGCGAGATCAGAAGCTGTCTGAGTTGGATGACCGTGCTGATGCCCTGCAAGCAGGAGCTTCCCAGTTTGAAACAAGTGCTGCCAAGCTGAAAAGAAAGTATTGGTGGAAGAACTGCAAGGTAAACATCAGGCTTGAGTGTTTTCAATACCAATTAACTACTCTCTTGAGAGTTAAAAGAACCTGTGTGCTACACAGTGGCAAAATTGTGCACACACAAATGCCTTGATTACCAAAAAAAAAAAAAAAGAGAGAGAGAGTTCTCTGGAACCCCATGAAAGCCTCTGACTTGCTGTGTACTAGCCAAAGCCTGGCTTTACATAAGATTTTTTTTTTTTAGCTACATTGCTGTTTTGGAGAAATGATTCCAGTAATCTAAGATTCAGAAGAAGTCCACTGATGTAGGTTGAGTAGCAACATGCAGAAGACTATGTTGTAGAGGAAACTGCAGTTGCTTTAAGTTCTTAACCATTTTCAATTATAGAAAGAGCTAGGAACACTTAGTAGCTTCTGGATAGTCAGTGGTAAAGGACAGTTGTAAGATGGGTCAATTGCTGGGTCTAGTAAAGAAGGCTTCGTTTTGAGCACTTCAGCTTGTATGTTACATAACTCATAGCTTAGATAGACTTTGGTGTAGTGTGAACAACTACAGTAAAACGGGCCTTTATGTTCTGAACTTAAACCTAACTTGGCTAATGTTGCCTGAAGCAAGACTGAAGTGTACCTTTTTGCTGCCTTAGTGGCATATGTTGCAAGACTACATTTGTATTGCTGCTTCAGTAGTAACTTAAAAGCTTTATTAGAGCTGGTTCATGGGTAATGCTGTGGTGTCTTTTTTTACACAGATGTGGGCAATACTGGTTGTTACTGTTCTCATCATCATTATAATCATCATTGGTAAGTCTTTTTTGTGTCTTATTTTTCCTTCTTAAAGGACTCCTCAGTGGGGTTAGCTAGCTGGGGCATATTTATTTTCAGGTCAGACCAATGTATCAGCAGCAGCCACTGTGTTTATAAAGATCAGGGCATTAAAAACATAGCTTACTCAGCAATACTTACTTTTAACAATATTAAATATCTGACAAAAGTGGTAGTCTGGAGTACTAATATTGCCAGATTGCATGTTACTGGTATACCAGTAACAATGTGGTGACATTTGGAAACAGTAACTCTTGTGCAGTGAAATGGGATCTAGCAGGGGACCAGGACTAAAAGTGAGTTCTAGTCACAGCTTTACCACGGGGTTTGCTTTTTTTCCTCTGGGAGCTTGAGGAAGATGCTCTCAAACCTTGTCTTGGTTTCTTAATATTTAAATAGAGATGAAGATGCTTATGTAGCTTAAGGCTTGTGAGAAATCCTGTCTCCAAAGTACATAGAGGTAGATGTGTGTGGTCTGCAATTACAAATGTGGATGCCATAAATAATTTGCAAGTTAAAAGTACCCAGTATGTGACCCTGAAAGCAAATACATGCAGAAAGAAAATCATGGGTTGGGGAGGAACTGCAGGGAATGACTTGAGACTTAATTGTGTTATGAGTTTCAGTTGCACAATTGCTTTGTGTGTTGTTGTTTTTTTTGTTTTGTTTTTTTTTTTTCTATGCTTGCCTTTTGGGAAGGGGGAAGTTCTTCTGATCTTGACCCACTACCCTACCCTACCCTACCCCCCCCTCTTCTATTTATAGTCTGGAATGTGTCCTCATGAGTTCTAAGAAGAAACTCGCAACAGCTGAAGATCTTACTTCAGTCTCTACTGCAAACCTGCTGTGTTCTCAAGCTCACCTACTGATGTATGAAGCAAAACTATTCTGATTAGTGAAACATTAGCTTTTCTCTGACTTATAGAAAGTGGGCCTTTTTTAAGAGGCACTCCTAATTGTTAAATACTAATAAGCACAGCCCACAACTTGTACAGTGCCTTAAACTTGAGTATGAGCTGGTGAAGAGGATTTAATAAGGTTTAGGTTTTGCAACTCTGGAGCCAATATACTGTCAGTAGTTGCTTTCTAAATGCATTTGAAGAAGGTACCTAGGTACCTACCCTCTTCTCTATCTTATTCCTTGCTCCATTTAAAGAGGTCTCTTTTGACCCCATGTTACTGAAGAAATGGGAGCCAAATATCCAAGTTGTGCCTTTCTGGACTAAACTCTAGACTCTGCCACTTGAACAGACTTTGCCTTAATTTAATAATGCCTTATAATCACTAGTGCGTTGCACACACCTACATATTTGTAACACTTGTATACTCCAATATTTAAATTGCACAGACTGCATGTAACAGTTAATACTGCTTTGAGGTATTTAGAATTGCCTTTCAACATGGTGGGATGTTTACAATCTCTTCCAGGTAAAGTATGTCACTTGGTGACCTTTGACCAGGAAAGGCTCCTTTTTAGAAGCATTTGGTTTTTGTAATGGTACAGATGACTTACCAAAGTTTCTATTTGCCAAAAAGTGAAAATGCTTCAAGCCAGTAAGATATTTCCATTGTAGATTTAGTGACAAATGTAGTTGCAGAGCAATCTGTTCACTCAGTTGTTACAAGTAATGTGTCTGTATGACTCTATCCAGGTGCTCTTTGTAAAATATTTTGCCCCTGTTTTGGACTCAGTGGCTCTTTTTTGAACTTTCCCTAAGCCTCTGCGTTGGGACTAAATGCTGCTATCCTTCACTCCCCCTTGAGTGATGATAAAGCCAGCACCTTCCTGTATTTTCATGAAGTGGGGGAAGACTCATACTTCAGGTAGCCCTCCGTGCAGGCAGTATTGTATTTGCTTTCCTGCTTCTGAAGTCAGCCTTTCAGCTCTTGAGCTTGTTTCCATTCTCACTGCAAGTCCTGCCATGGAAAACGGCCTCAGGTTCCTGAAGCCAAGCTGGCAAAATTCTCCGAGTGTTGCAGTACTCCAAGAGTGTGCTGTAGGGGCCCCGACTGGCTGAGGCTCACAGCCCCAGCCCCCGAGGCTGCTGTCTGTCCGGGGCTGCCGGTACCAGTGGCTCCGCAGACACTCGTCTAGACTTGCTGTTCTCTGGAGAGGGCGAGGCGGCCCCGACACCGGAGCGCGCAGGCGTGACTGGCGGTGCCGAGCGGCAGATAAAGCAGATCCCGGGGGCGAGGTCGGCCGGCAGCGCGGGCCAATGGGAGGCAGCGGTGGGCAGTGACGTTGCCAGGATGTGTGCAGCAGCTGCAGGGCTGCGCTGGGGGTGCGGAAGCGGGAGCACAGCCTGGCAGTGCTGCAGGGACGTTGCGCCCTGACTGGAGGGATGTCTCGCCTGTCCGCGTCTCCAGTGGGCGTGGGGGCCTGGAAAGCTTCGTCTGCCTCTGGGTCTGTCGTCGGCCCTGATTCAGGCCCCTGACTTAGCTCGGGCGCCCCCCGCGGGCCCTCGCCGGTCGGCCGGGCCGTGCCCCGTGCCTACCGTCGGGCGGTGACGGGACCGCTTTGAGCCTCGTGGGAGCCCCTGCCGGATTGGCTGCAAACGGCTCCGCTGCGGAACTCAGGTTCCAGACAAGAAGCTCCAGCTGCTGCTCTCCTCTCTCTGCTTGCTGTCACCCCGCGCAAAGGAGTGAGCTGGTGTCAGCAGAAGAGGAAGGTGTCTGAAATAAAGTAGCAGGAGAAGGTCTCTGGGATAAAGAAGTGAATCCAAGGGACCCACAGGGAGTGGAGGTGGGGTGCCTCTCTAGTAAGGCAGGATGCCTTGGCCTGCCGAGCTGTCCCTCGTTACGGTGTTTGCTTGTGTCTTTGTATGGTGAAAGAAGGAGGTTGTTTTCTAATGTTTGAGTGAAAGAACCGTCTTTCTGAAGTGAAAGTCTCTGGGCTTGTCAGCAAGCCAGACTATGACATGCAGAGCCCCCCTGCTGCAGCACTTCACCAGCCCTTTATGAACAGAAATCTATTCCAAGGTGCTGGCTTGGATCTAAATGAGAATCAGTTGCCAGCTGTCATTTCTGAGATGAGAACTCAGCAAGATAGTACAGTCCTGGTTGCAGGAAGTAGGGTGGTGAAGACTACAGAGGTACACTGCAACACATGTGTAGGACCCAGCCCCAGGGGGAATGCACTTAGTGGACAAGAGTCCCACAGCAGTAATTTCTACACCCATAGATTTGAAGGCAACTCAAGTGGAAGACTCTGGAGACCAAGCAGTTCTTGCCAGCACAACAAACTCATTGATTTCTATTTTAGACTTAGGGGTGGGGGAAAGGCACTTAAGTTTGGAGCCATGGGCCAACACAAAAGCAGAAACCTGCTGCAGCTGCAGTACCTGAGATTTTGTTTGTTCCCAGGTTGCCTGAATGGCAAGGTCTGGAGCTTGTAGCTGTCAAGTATGTCACCAGGAATACTCTCGTGTGACACCTCCTACATGGTCTGATTTGGATAATTGTTACAGAGCAGCGGTTTTCAACCTGTGATCTATGGACACTTGGGGGGCTGCAGACTATGTTTAAGGGGTCTGTGAAAGATGACTGATTAACAAAAGTATGTTAACATCCACACTTGCAATTCATCAGGGTCCACACCACCATTTGAGGTTTCCAAAGTGGTTCATACCTCTATTTGAAACTTTTTAGGGGTCTGCAAGTGAAAAAGGTTGAAAACAACTGTCAGAGGATGGTCCTTGGGGCTAGAGGGGTCAATGATTTTTCCTTTGAATTTGAATTCACTTTGTTTGCCTAACACCAGCACTTACTCTTTGTAAAGCAAGGCACTTTGAAAACATTTTCTCAGAATACTTAGAAGTGCAGGAGTTCTCTTTTTTTTAAATGTACTTCTTAAAAAAACAATAATTTACTAAAAGTTAAATTGACATGTATAATGTATTCATTTTAAATGAATTTACCCAGTGATTTATACAAACAATAGAGCATTGCTAGTAAAGTCCTGGGAACAGGGAAGAGTTAACTACAATAACTGTATTCATGTAATACCTGGAAAAATAAAATTTGTCTGTTTGGAGTTTTGTTGTGCATGTTTAATAACCAAAATAAGAATAAAGCAAAAGAGCAAAAACAAAGAGGTTTAGGTAACTTTAACTTACACAGCTGCAAGCTGCACTGACAGAGTCAGTATTATAAGCAAGTTGTGTGGCTCAAGCTCAGGAACAAATCTAGACATTAGGGGCACTTTTACATGTGCTCCAGAGGTGGTGGAGGGCTGCACTTTAATTAGAGTGGCTCCTAGAGCCACTGTGATTAAAGCACTGCAGAGTCTCATGTATTAGTGTCCCCGTGCTTCAAAATAGCAGTTGGGCACTCATTCGAGTTTTAGTTCAAGCTCCCCACGGTCATTTTGAAGCGCAGGGATACTGATGCATGAGATATGGGAGGCTGCTGGAATGTGGTAATTACTACGCTCCAGAGACTTAATCAAATCTACTCCAGCACGGGGTAATTATATTGTATCGGAGCAGTCTCCGCACTCATGTACAGGCAAACTAAGTGTATTCTGAGGGTTTAATCTCTCAGTGAAGTACTTCCTTGCTACCCCATACTGCAAAAATAGATGGTCCTGGATTCCGATCCTTGATGGTGGGTATTGAATACTAGTTCACATTCAGGAGTTGTAGAGAACAAGGATAAGAAACCAACATTTCTGCTTACTGTCAGCTGCTTTTATTTTCTTGGCAGCTTGAGTCAATGGTGTCACTCCTTGACCTGAAGAGTAGAGCTCTCAGTTTGATGTCAAGCTTTGAAAGTTACCCATAATTAAAGCTGGCTGTGGTGACTGCCCTGATCCTAGTAGGAGGGCAGAAGGGAGGAGAATAAAGGCTGTGACAGGACAGGCATCCTAGGGTCACTGTGCTCTCCCCTAGCGCCTCTTACCATGTCCAGTTTGTCTACAAAGCACCCTAAACTCTCACCCACCACATTTTTGATGTCAAATGTATATGATAGGGAGGCTGCCTCTTAGTCTCCCTGGACACGGCTTTCCTCCTGTACATTAGCCCTGTTTCGGTAATGGGTGTTCCTGCACACCCCAGCTTTATGGGGTGGCTCCAATCACACCTTTACCACACCCTGAGCCTCCCTGGTGTACCAGACATTGTTCGGTCTTATACTCTTTGACACTTGGGCTCTCCGCAGCCCTCATCTCGCACCGTGCCTCACTGGGCGCTCGGGCTTCTCACTGCCCCCTTGTCTAGAGCTTCTCGCTCTGCCACGGGTCCCCTTATGAGGCCTCCTCCTTCCCCTTACAGCCTCTCCCAAGCCACCAGTGTAAACTGCAAACACAAAACACAAGCCCCTAGGCTATAACATTAATTTCTGCCCCTCAGCTAAACAGCACTCGAGCCACCCCCAAGGGTGTTCCATCCCTCACCCATACTAAACTGCTCATGCTTTTTGGCTTCTTCTCTTTTCTTGCTCCAGCAGAGTTCCTTCCCCTTTGGCTGCCAGAAGGAAACTGCCTGCCTGGCCTCAGCCTGGGAGTTATATAGGAACCAGGCCCTGGCCCTTTCAGTCAGCTGACTGCTAACAGGGGTGGGTTACTGGCTCCCTCTGCTTGCCCTAGCAACCTGCACCTGGGCTCCTTCATTACTGCTCCACAAGCAGCAGGCACCTTAGTGCCCTGCTACAAAGGGAAAGGGATCAGTTTTGAAAAAGGAAGTCAGTAATTTAATCATAAAGTAAAGGAGGCTTTAGGTGACTGATACTGCATGTTTGAGGGAGAGAAGCTGGAGGGCCAGCCCACAAACTGGAAGATTCAGTTAATAAATTTGAATCAGGCATCAAGAGAAATACCTCTGTGGCAGGGGTTTCCACTAATCAGTATCTCTTGTCTTATAGTGAACTACTGGATTGGAGCTGTTCTCATAAAACGCTGATGATGACAACCTGGGAAAATAAAGAAGTACCTCTGAGAAGAGGAACAGAGTGGCAGGAAGCCTAGTACTGTCTGTTTTCAACTATGCTTTGCAGTGTGTCCAGCAAGTCCAAGGTATGTGGAGGTATTGGAGGGAAAGATGCACAAGTTAGGGAGCTGCCTGTTTGACTGATCATTCGTGGTAACCAGAAACATCAGCGTATGCTAGACACAGTAATCTTGGCACTTGCAGAGAGGAATCATTAACTGTGTTAGTCTAGAGTCAGGTAGAAGGCAGGGCAAGGTGGTATCGTAGAGACTAAGGCTGCTTACACACATTCAAATAATCTGGAAAAATTCTCCCAGGTTTGTTCTCCTGGTAGAAAAAACATACCCAAAGCCATGCACACAGATGTTCACATTCTGAAGCCCTGAACTGTGGAGAGTGGGCAGTGCTGACATTGTACAGCAAGGCAAGGAGCGGGGCTATGTCCACACCTCAGGGATATTGATAGACTCCTGTAGTTTGCCTGGTGATGCATGGCAGAAGTGCATAGGGCAGCACTGATTGGCTAATCCAGCTGCCCATCAACAACCTGTGTTTCCCTGCAGCACTGTCAGGATTGTGAAGGAGGCATGGTCTGCTCTGTGCTGGAGCAGCAGAGTCCAGTGAGAGTCCCTGAGGGGAAGGGGTGGAGGGGACAGAGGGAATGGTGGAGGACCGTGTTCTCTTCTGAAAGGAGCCACAGCATGTATAGACATTTATTCTCCCAGGAGAAACTTTCCTAAGACTGATTTAATCCTGGTTGTTCCCAGGTTATTTTTCTTCTGAAATGGCCATTTTTGCTCTGGTAGAAAAAGCCTGAACATCTGTACACTTGTGATTTCTTCTGGGAGAGCAGTGACACTCCCAGGAGAAACTAAAGGTCTATACAAGGCCTAACTAGTTAGTCTCTTAGCTGCCACCCTGCCCCGCCTTGTAACTTGCAGTAAGTGACTTCTTTTGAACTCTAATTAAATAATTGCTTTTACTAGAAGTGAACTGATAGAGATTTTGGGGGCTGATATTAATAGCTGATTTTTAAGGAGGCATATCAGCTGATGCCCATTCAATTTCTGATACAGCTGTGTGTAGCTGGTAAGTCTGTTGTGGTGAAAGGGAGTGGGGTAGGGAGGGAAGGAGCAGAGGGGCGCATATCAGGGCCCCACAGTGAGGGAGGAGTGGGGCTGGGGCTGGGGCCAGTCTGCAAGCGCTATCCAGCCAGAGCAGGGTAGGCATGGGGCAGAGCTGCGGCTCGTCTGGGGTGGGGGGCAGTTCCCACAGCTGCGCACCGCTTGTCCAGAAGCTGCTTGTCCAGCCCTTGCCCACTCATCCAGTGACTTCCATCACTTGTCCAGGAGGGCATGGGGGAGCGTGTGCCCCTGGATCTGCGTGGGGCAGGCCGGGTGGGCTGCAGCTGCTCTCGGGGTGGGTGGCGGTGGTGCTGAGAGGGGGCCTATGGAGGGGGCTGCAGCGACCCCAAAATTTGCCATAGCCCCCTCCCAGTGCTGCCCCAGCTTGCAGCTGCTGCCCACCAAGCCTGCCCCACTCTGCGCAGATCTGGGGGCACACATCCCCCACCATGCCCTCCTGGACGAGCAGCAGGAGCAGTGGCAGGACCCGCCAGACGAATGGGCTAGTGCAGGATGAGCAGCTCCTGGATGAGCAGCTCCTGGATGAGCAGCTCCTGGATGAGCTGCGTGCAATGGCAGGAGCTGCACCCCCCAGATGAGCCACAGCTCTGTTCTGCACCTGTCCCACCCATGCTGGGCAGTGCCTACTCCAGCCCCACTCCCTCCCTCACTGTGAGGGGTGTTGATCTGCCCCCCAACGCCCCTTCCCTTCCCCCTCGTCTTCCACCACAACAGACTTATCAGCTGCACCCAGCTTTCCATGCTGCCAGTCTGTGTTCCTCACTGCCTGCATGCTGCACTGTGGCTGCACGCACCCATAGGTATTTATTGGCCGCATCAGGCGAATTTCTGACACAGTCAATTCTCTTTATATCGGTGCCAATCTGATACCAAACCAATGTATCGGTGCACCTCTAGCTTTTACCCAAACTATCTTCCACCTCCAGCTTTTCAACCAATATCTTTCTTTTAATCAAGATACAATCTGTCATTGTTTCCTAGTAGCGTCCTCCATCTTGTAAAATAAAGAGCTGTCCTTAACTCACATCTGGAGCTCAGGCAATCTGTGTCTTTCCTGGTGAGGTGGGCTAATCCTGCCGGAAGAGCCTGTTTGGTTACTTTGGACTTCTTCAGGTTCAGATTGT